TATAACTCAGAGTATCCCAGGTTATACAGAGCTTTATAAGCAGCCAAAAATGATCCTTAAAAATGGTCACAAGAGGAAACCATTGTAGCATACCAGATGGTGTTCTCCAGCCATTACAAATTTGATTCTTCTTTCATTTCTGAAATTTGTTCATTTTATTTCATTTGTTCAAGGACCTTAGTCCCAAAGGAAAAAAAGAGGCTAAAGACAGATAAGATACTATACATCATGCTAGATTATACCAATGCACTTGGAGAATCCAAATGCTGGAAGTATAGATGTCAAAGGCATGTCAGAGCGGAAATTTTTTTGTTTATTTATTTGTTTATTGCTTTTAGAATAACAAAATCATGACCTTATATGTAATCTTAAAGAAAAAAAAAACAAATAGTGGCAATATGAAGAATGAAGGTGCAAGAGAGAAATGTTGGGCTCTTGGAAAAATCATTATACATTTTTTGCTTGAAAAACATAGAAAAGATATGTCTTAAGTTTTCTGACAACCCAGTAGAAGGGTCAGATAAGAAACGCCAGTTCTCATCCCTACCTTGCTCAAGAATTAGGGGATTTAAAACAAGTTTTGAGACTAAAGGAAGAAGGTTGAGGGAATTCTTTCTGGCATTTCCCATTAAACAGGCAAGTATTTGCTGAAGTGGCAGAGACCAAATTTAGAATTTTGAGAAGGAAAGATCTGGAGAAGCATCTGATAAAGGGTTAGGTAAAAACATAGCTCAGCCATAATAAGGACCCACCTAGGTAGAAGAGCTGAAATAAAGTTGTCCTGTTAGTGCAATTTTTTTTTCTTTCTGTCTTGTCAAGATTAAGAACCAAGGATAAGTGTCAATTGTGATTTCATTTTTGCTTTGGCAAAGCAAAAAACATAGTAGGAGGTCCAGGAGCTAAGAGCTTCCAATGAAGGTGTGGCTGTGTGAACGGCTATGTTGCAGCATTGAATGGCCTACTAGAACATCCAACATGGGACGTAGTTTGGAGGGGGAGCAGATCCTACTTTGTCCACAGTCACCCCCTTGCCTGGATCTTTGCTTGCGGGGCTCCTGAACCCTTACTTTCTCCTTCCCCCTCTCCCTCCTATCTCCCCAAGCTGCCTCTACTTCTCTAACTCTCCCTGATCCCAGCAGCAGATGCTCCTCTTCTTGCAGCCCACAAACAAGACTGTGTAGAAAGGAGATAGAGTTTTAATTTTGTTGTACTATGTGGGATTTTATCCTTTTTCTAATTTAACTTTTTATTTATATTTTTTCCCTTTCACTTGTCACTAAGTTTGAATGTTTAAACATTTCCCCCCTTCAGTAGCCAAAAAGAAAACAAAGCAACATCTAATATAGTAATAAATTTATTTCTGACTACAGGAGATAAGCTTCAATGCAATAAGGCCATAAACTATGGCTCCCAGGCTTAGGGGAGAAGCAATAAACTTTCATAAATAAGAGAATTTTAAAATACTCCTGGCAGTATAAATAAGGGTGACATATAACTTGCAACTGGCAGCATATAACTGACAACAGAGCTACTTACAAAAGAAAACAATGAACTAAAATAAGGAAACGGTCACAGCTTTGTCGGTGTTGCTACCTTACACCTTAGGTGGGCTGACTAGAGAATTCACTGAGAAGTTTTTGACTCACCTTCTGAAATGTTGCCTCTGTTACATCTGCTGACACCTTTCGATTTGCTGAAGATCTGTGATCATCACCAAGGAAATCCAGGGGGACTGATGCCACATATAAGAAAGGTTGTAACCAATCTGAAGGTGTTGGAGAACACACTGTGGCAGGGGCAGGAGGGCTCCCACCCAGGACCAAGTCCCACAGGTGGGCTAATGAGGGAACTTGCACAGCTCAGCTTTACTTGACTTTCACCTGGTTCCTCATTCATCTTTACAGAAATCTGAAGTCCAACTCATGTTTCATTTGGGTTTTCAGCTCAGGAATAACTTGGCTAAAAGCTTAAAAGATAGTTATTTTCTGGACAGTGGTGTTGGCACACGGGTGATTGGGTAATGGGAAGCCCACAGGGATTATAACTGAGATGGGAAAAGGCACAAAATAATGTAAAATTAAACTATTATATAAAAAACTTTTTTAAAAAGATACAGTGGTTTTAGTGAACAATGCCTGGATTTCAAAGACTTGAAGGAATGGATTATCTTTTCTCTAGAAATTTAAAGAACAAGGGATATCCTTCTTGCCTACCTACCTGCACATAGGTTAGGCTCCCTATCCCCACTCCCTAGTCTGTATGTAAGCAGATCTAAAAAGTGTTGGGACTCTGGGTAACAGTGTGGCTCATCTGGTAACCACAGGGCAACATAACAGCAGCAACTTGGTCTTGGAGTCATGGAATTGCTTGCCCACCAGTTTGTGGCATTTGTTGCCCAAGATGTCTACCTTCGTGATCTGGATGGACTGGTCCCCTGGGTAAGGTGCAGAGTGACTCATGGGCCATGGCCTTGCTTGTTGGCCAGCCCCAGTCCTCCCAGTACCTGTGTGAATGCTGCTGCAGAATTCATAGGGCAGCCGGAGCCAAGTATTGCCCCTCTTGATCTCTCCCTCTTCCTAGTTCTCAAATCAGAGATGGTAATAAATACTAGCAGAAATAACAGGCTGCCACCAGTGGGATGAACTTAGGCTTTTGCAGTGCTCTTGTTTCATAAAAAATGTATTTTCTGAACTTCTAAACTCTTAGGTACTGTGTTTATTGCTGGGAAGCAGGTCTCAGCCTTCAAAGAACATGGTCTAGCCTGGACTGAGTCACACCCAGCAGCATGGAGGGTGGGCTTGGCTTTAAAGTTGGTGGAGGGAAGGTGCTCCTGAGGACAGGAGTCAAGATTGCAAAGGAAAATGTGAATGCATGTTAACTGGGCTTAGGTGGTGGAAAGTCTTAAATGCTATTTGAGGTAGCTTGAACGTTTTCTTGTAGGCATTGGGAAACCACTGAAAACCTTTAGAGAACAGAGAAGACATGATTTGTATTTGAAAGTTGTATTATAAGGAGAAATCTCTGTTGGTGGTAAGGACAAGATGAGAGGCAGATGATAGGAACTCTGGGGAAATGAGAGGGTGTGGTATGGGCTCTGCTGGCTGATTTGCTAGGCTGGGTAGTGTCTAAAGTTGGATTTTTGCTGGATTCTGTAAGACAGCCAACACAGAAATTGAATTCTGAGTTTGGTTTCACTATTTAGTAGCCATGTGTTTGGGGGCAAGGAGTGTACTGCTGTAAATCTCATGTTCCCCATCTGTAGAATGGGGTACAGTGGTATACCCTTGTGGGGTTGTAATATGTTTAACTGAAATGCTATATCTGGATGTGTAGTCCTTCAAACAGTGCCTGCTGGGTGGTACATGCCAAGTATCGTTTTATCTTATTTTCATTGATTTACTTAAGAAAGTAAATAATTTCATTTGTGTCCATCTGCTATTAGAACAATCCAGGGTAATCTACTACAGAGTCTCTTTTTTCCTATTTTTGTTTTTGTTTTTCTGTTATTGTTTGAGAATTTTACTGACATTTCTCACCTCCTTGTCTTAAGTCCTCTTGGGCCAAAAATTTCCTGCAGAAAATAGGAGGAGAAGGCTGTAAATTAAACCAGCTACTACCCCCTGATTTAAAGTGTGAACAAAATTTTACAAAAAACATTGCTGCTCAGTGGTGGTCTCTCTTGTCACTGTGTGTAATGGGGAGCAGGGGAAGTGTTAAGTGAAGTTCCACTATCGGGAGTTGGGGTAGTCTTGCTTTACAGTTCACCCTGGTTCTGTTATTTTTGATCAACAGATTCTGAAACTCCAAAACCTAGTGTGAAACACATTTAAATATAAATGCAGAAACACCTTCCAAAATTCTCAATATAAAATTTTAATTACCTTAGCCTTTGCTTTCCTCTTTGTGAAAATAACTATGAATTGATCATATCACATTTTCAAATTGAAATAATTTTATCTCCCATGAATATAATAAATATTATATACCTTAATGTAGGTACTTTTCATTATATAAGTATGTATCTGTATTTATTATATAAATAACCTAGATTCTCATATTAGGCCTCAGAACAAAACCCTAATGGGAGGGCAGTCATTCCTCTATTTCCATATGCAGAGACTGTGTTCTGTTCTTAAGATTAGGACTCTGTGAAACAGGAAGCTGGCCCCTTTAGGTTACAGGAAGTGTTCACAGGATTTGGGAAGAAAAATTAAATATCCTGAAACCTTTTTCCCTTTGAAGAGCTGGGAAAGCAGTTCTTAACAGAGGGAGGTAAATACATAAATACAACCTCTGTATAGTGGAGGTGAACAAAGCTTCCTTGACAGGAAAGGTTTTTATTGTGCCAGAATGTGAGCTCTTCACTGATGGGTTCTTTTATTTGATCCATCAAGATTACCAGGCCACCTGTCACCATTGCTAAGTAAAATACAGCATCAGGATTCATGATTAAAGTTGTAGGAACCAACTTATGAAGTGGCAAGAGATTACAGATACTGCATTTCCTCTTCTTGACTTCCTGGGAATTAAGTTTCAATAGCATTGAGTTCTTCTGAAAGAATACCATAAATTATTTAAATTATATTTCCCAACTTTCCCCCTGACTCATGGCTAAGCAATTTTGACTAGTTCATAAATTAGGACTATGTTATTTGTTTTTTAACAAGATAATTTACTGAGCATATTTTTGTAGTATTGTGATTGTGTGGTTAGAATTGCAGCAAAAAAAAAATGCAGAGGAATGGGTGACTTGTAATCTAGTTCTAACCCTGCTAGGAACAGATGTGTGACTTCAAGCGAATAACTTTTTCTCATAACATTTGTCCAATCTCCTTTGAGGGACTTTTGTAAGAATCAAATGAGTGGAGGTATGTGAAAGTCATTTGAAGCATAAAAAGCACTAAAAATAACTAAATGTAGTTGCCAAACATCCTTAGGGCATCTTAATACAACAAATGGGAGTAAATGTTGAGGGCGTTTTTATTTGTTTAATTTTACAGGGAACAAGGGAAACTCTTAGTCGTCATTGCACTACCCTTGGTGATGCTCTTCGGAAAGAGAATGATTTTGCTCTTATAATTGATGGAAAAACCCTCAAGTATGCCTTAACATTTGGAGTAAGGCAGTACTTCCTGGACTTAGCTTTGTCGTGCAAAGCTGTAATTTGCTGCAGGTAAGTTCTCCTTAATGTTGTCTGACATCGGTAATGTACAACTTGATCCTACATTCTTGATTTTGAAAGTACCTTGAAGTTACTGTATGAAGAAATTGTGAATGCTAAATTATTTATTAATTCAATCACTCAGGTCTCAAAGTTCACAAACTGAATGCTAAGTTATTAATTCAGTCCCTCGGGACTCAAGGTTCACAAATTGGTATAGAAGTCATTAGAGTTCTTGAAAGTAGTTCTGATGATCATTATTAATCTCATAAATTGAATCAATAGGTTTCTTGCCAAGTTTCATATTTGAAACTGATTATTTACCTGCATCTCCATCTATTGTTAGTGCTCTAGAAGTTTTGTTTCTACAGTCAGTCTATGCTCTTCAGATTTATTTTGGAGAAGGCGCAGTAGGAACAGTTATTATATCATTTTCCAAATAATAGCACTTTCCTGAAGTGTCAGCTATTTGGAAAGTAATTATTCTTTGTTCATTCCTCTGCCCTCTAATGCATACTGTTGCCTAATTCTAAAATAAAATTTGTCTTTATCAAAACCTAAATGTGGCCCTCCCTGGTGGCACAGCGGGTTAAAGCACTGCACTAAGAATCTGAAACCACTTCCGCATGAGTTTGATCCCCGCCTGCTGCATGCCTCATGGCATGGCAGACCTCTCCTGACCCACCCGCTGCTCCCCTCAGCAGTGTACTTTGTCGATCTGCCTGTTCTGCTCCCCACTCTGTCTCTGGTGAAGTCTTTCACCACCCTGAGTCTCTGGCCTGTACCCCAGTTCTGTATGCACAAATAAATAAATCTTTTAAAAAAAAAACTAAATGTAGGATTGTATTTTTATAAACCATTAGCTCCAGTCCTTCCTGAACAGCATCTCTCTTTGTCTACCTTGTTTAAACTTTTCTTCCTAAAAGTTACATACATGACTGTGAGCAGTCTCTTCCCTTCTGGTCTCCATAAAATCTAAGGTCTTCCCTCTTTGTACTCCACTTACTGAAACTTAGCAGCTGGTCAGGGTAGGTCCCAGATAGCAGATTATCAAATTGTTTTCTCTTGGGAGATGAAATGTTAGCAACATTTCTGAAGAATTTCTCAGAATTGGAACTTTTAACATATCTTTAAAACTGTACCATTTGTTTTAATTATTTTCTTTTAAACTACATTTACCAATAAAAAAATGTTAAGCTTTTTAAGCCATTTTTGTGATCTAGACTGTATTCATTTAAATATCCTGTGTATAATATTGTCTCCAAATTTATAAGCTATGCTGCATAGTTTCTCAATTTCAATTGAAATATACTTTGTAGCATATAACGTAAACTGTATTTAATAAGTATTCTTTGTAAGTATCAGCTCATCTATATAATAGCATATTCAAAAAATAAGAATTATTCACAGGAATCAAATTACTTGTCATTTATATCTTCTTCTCTGTGGTACATAATAATAAATAGCATTACTATAATATTCTTAGACAACATACTGTATAGATATCCTATATTAGTGATAATCAGATCCTTGCCTTAATCATATCAAAAGAATTGAAAATTATTTTATCTTAACTGCCTAATTTGCACTTCGGTGTCATCATACCTTTCAAAATCTGCTTTTCTGGTGATATTCTTTATCCCTCACCAATATCTTGACCAAGTGTTAAGATGTTCCTCTCTGGTGCTTCCTGATCATAATAATTTTGTGTCAGATCTGGCTACTTAATCACTTTCACAAATGGAATCATATAGATCAGCAAAAGATTGCTAAACAGCACATTAAGTGACATGGCTGTTGGCATCTATTTGTTCATAGATCAGAACACAATACAAAGCTATTTAGATAAAAAGACAAGCACCCTTGAGTGGACATTTGTCCTGTGCCTTCTCTGTACTGGGCATGAAGGCTGCACAGACATGAATAAGGACAAAAAGATATCCTGCCTGCTCTCCGCTCTATCTTTCTTTTTGTTTTAAGTGAAATCACTACTGGTTTGAAAGATGTGGGAGGCCAATTTTCATCACTGCAGCTGAGCTTCATTCTTAGAGCATTGCTTAACACAGTACCTCCCACCATTCTTCAAAAAGTTGAACCACAAATTAAACAATAGCAGAGGGAGAGAAAAACTAGAGAGCAGAGTCGAGGGGGGAAAAAATATGTTCTGTGCTTGTGAAATTCCCTCCCGAGATCCTTGTTCTGGATGCTCACAAGTCACATGGACCTAGGGGCTCCTCCGGCCCCAGCCCCTGGGAGGGAATCACACTCTGTCCTGCACGTGCAGCTCAGGCTCTAAAACTGAACTTATAAAGATGTGTGTGGCCCCTTCCTCCCTCCATCCTGTTTTATGCATGTTTGAGGACCAGGAAGGTCCCTCTGCAGACACTGAGTTTTATTTGTAGAGTTGTTTTTTTTTTTTTTTTTAAGTAAAATATCTTTCCTCAGCTCTTTTCATCTAATTGCCTTCATACTCTTTTTCCCATAAGTTCTGTGGCTCAACTTCCGGTCTAGCTTTGAAAACCCATCTAAGTCCATAATTAGATCAGTGCCACTGCCCGTTTTCTGTCTGTGCACCTTCTTGGCCTGGCCCTGACTGTCCTGTTAGCCCACCAACCTTGAGGTTTAATTTTCATGATAATACTTTTGTCACTGGTAAGGAATAGGTGGAAATTCCTGTACATCATTCTCTACAATGAAATAAAGTGTTACTCCTGGCTTGTCAGATGATTATGACCTCCCATCCTCAGGAAATTCTCTATTTTACTATAAGAGACTATTCCAGATAAATACTGAGTATTATTTCAAAAGACAGTATGGACTGTTTCCCACATTCATTTAGTTCATTCTGGCTTTCTGCGTTTTCTTCTCAAACTACTTTCTAATCCATTTCTCGTCCATCCACACATGAAGATAATTCAGAATCTGCTCATTTATAGGCCTCTTTGCCATAGCCAGCATGGAGGTAAAGGGGAAAGTTTTCCCGTGATGGATAATGAGGCTTTCAATATTCATCCCATCTTCAGAATTACATCAGCCACTTTCTTCCCTGACATTATCAGCATAAAGAGCAGAAGGCAATGTTTAGTGTTTGCCTAATTGACACAGTTATAAAGATGAGCGTTTTCCCTGAAGAGTCTACAGCTGAATTGAAAGAAACAGTTGCTCCCAGTCAGTAGTCATTACATCTCTTACTCACCATGATTTTCTGAAGGGAATGTTCAGAGACAGAAATAATCCCCTCACCCCCAAATTACTCAGAGTTTTGGAGTCCTGGTTTTGGTTTGCAAAGTGATGGTTGCATATTATACCGAGGTATGTAAAACTCTAGTAGTAAAATGAAATCCATTTTTATCAGTCTGTCAAGTATGTTTTTCATAGACTCCACGGAGCTTTTGTTTTAACTGTTGTGGGCATTTGCCTGTGGCCTGAGTAGTTTACTAGGGAGCTTGCATTGTGTGTTCAGCTAGTTTCTGATATTTCCCTGATATATACATAAACTGCTCCTTTGTGGGCCTTTTTCCTTCTAGTCCCTTGTTCAAGTACGCTGGTTTTTATCACTTGGTGTGATCACAGATTTGAAGAATAAAGGAAAACTAAACTCTTTCCTCCCCCCAAAATATACATATAAAATTGACCGAACCACTTCAGGGGTTTCACAGACTCCCTGAAATTCCCATGGAGATTTGTTCACAAAGCTGTAATCAAGAGTTACTTTGCAATGCTGCTGTACCAGCTAAATAGTTCCTCGTCTCAAATACTGTTTTATGCCTGTGGTCTTACAGATTGTATAACTGATACAATGGCATTTTAGCTGGGGATTCATGAAATTCAGGTCCTGGCTCTATGTCTCAGGCACTTTGGATACTTAATGGAGACTCTGGCCTTGGCTTTATAACCTATAAAGTCAAGCTATTGGAATATAACAATGTTTCAGATCTCTAAATCATCTATGAGGGACGCTTCTCCCACATAGGAATGTAGAATTCCCAAGCATTTGGCTTGTCGTCTACCAGCTTGACAAGCAAGATGACCTCTCACTATCTTTCCATTTGGAGATAGACCGTACTGCTGGACACTGACACTGGGGAAGGGTCTGTCTACTGCTTGGATCAGCTTCAGTGGGGGTGTATCTCTTCTGCCTCCTTTAATATTCCCTCCAGAAGAGAGCAGGAAGGTTGCAGTGAAGTTTGCTGTGTGCTAAGTAGCATGTGGTTTCTGAGATCCTCGTCAGTTCACATAATCCAGCCTCTCAAAGAATTTTACATTTTTTTCTATAGTTGTCAGTTTAGTTTAAACATATTTTGAGACTTATGTTCTCTGACAGTTGGTTGAAAATTGGCCTAGAGCCTCCAGCTTTTAGACTGTCTAGTAATCACCGTTCTTCTACATAATTTATGTACTCATGTCTTCTGAAAAGCAGAAGTTAAATTGAAGTAAGCATTTTCCCTATTCGCAACATCTCCAATCAAAGTTTTATCCCCCTTTTCTGCCATTTTCCCCATAGTGCAGAAGAAAAACACTTGACTTCAGTGAGTGCAGTCACTTGGGAGTGGCATTCCAGGAGGCACCTTTCACCTTAGCCCGATCAAAGGGTCCCCTAAGAAGCAGTCTAAAGGGACACTTTGAATACTTTCTGTCATAATGTGAGCACTTTAAATGACGGGTCAAAGCAGATCTACTTCGTGAACCTTTGGGGATCATCTTAAACCTTAAGGATTTCTCCAAGTGAATGTTCTACTTAAAGGGCAGTCATAAAGCACAAATGAAGCCAATAAATGCTGAACAGACATTCCTTTAAAAAAAAAAAATTGTGAACACCGTTGGATGCCAAGCAGATGTTTGGCTTTGAAAGACTTACAAACTGTTAATGAATGTCAACCCTATATTTGCTTCCAAGAAAACATGAATAAATGTTGAAAATTTTAAGAGAATATTTCTTTTATATATGTATGACTAAAAGAGGACACACTGAATAAATTTTATAACTTAACAGAATACCCGTATTTGACATA